TCATGTCTGCCCTCCCATCGCCACCCTGTTGCAGAGAATGGGTGATCTATTTGGTATTTTAAGCAAAAAACTTCACAGACATGTTTTTATAGATATGGCCCTACAATATATTTTTCCAATATACCATAATAGGTCCACTTTCAGTAGACACACACACAGACTATCTCCTCTTTGCTCTTCTCTCTGTGTGGAGCAGCAAGCTGTCGGAACAAAGTGAAAAACAAACAATGGCATCAAATATTATTAATATGTCGGGTAGCATTAGATTTATTTATTTTCTTCTCAGAGTGTACCAGAATGCGTAGTTTATATTTCAAAAAATCTCCTGGTGAGAGAATCCCCCCTGACCCCCCTTCTGGGGTTGGGTTTTCAGCGTGTGTGCCTTTTTATGTTATACAGTTCAGCTTTGATTCCATCATCTCATTAAAACCTTCTTTAAAAGCATTCTTTAGTTCTCGTCCTTCAATTGGTTTAAATCCAATTAAAAAGGTGATAAATGATGAGGGACTCCCTTAACGGGTAATGAGGGCCTGAATGCGTCATCGGTCCAGTCTTAGCAATTGCTGTTATGTAATTGGATCAACATTAGACACAGCCAACAAACTATATTTCTATTGTCTGAGATTACTTAAACCTCATTTATGTTTGATAGATACAGAGCTTGTTGTTGATAGTTTACTTTTCTAACCCCAGTGTGCTAGATCTGTCATCGATGTTCAGCCTCATCTAGTTTTACTCCTCCAGTAAAGCCTAAATGTTTTATAAGAGTCAGAGCACCACAGGGTTAAGTGTTCGTATTATCCTGTTGTTTATGTTTATATTATTCATCGCTCAAATACTTAAAGTGCATGGACTTTGCGGTGATTACGGGCAACACGGGTATTTCAAAACCAATTTTCTGAACTCATTTTAACACCTAAGATAATCCTACTTTTAAAATACAGCATCATTTTCTCCAGACTAAGTAATGCAGGTGAGACTTCCAGCCAGTCGTGTAAACAACAAAGCCGAGGCAGAAACTTTCCCATGCATTTTTCATGATAACAACAAAATAAGTGCAGTTCAGTGCGGGGCTACATTTGCTATTGGTTACACTTAGTCTTTTATTTACTATTTTTTCCTGCGTCACCCGAATTGTCTTGCTATCCAAGCTGTGTGTTCACGGTTAATTTCTCTCTCTGTTTCCCCATCTCTCCGGCTGTCAGTACTGCTTCATGTCTGCCCTCCCATCGCCACCCTGTTGCAGAGAATCTCTCTCTCTCTCTCTCTCTCTCTCTCTCTCTCTCCGCAGCCGTAGTTTCTCATGCAGCTGCTAATATTCTCTCTCTCTCTCTCTCTCTCTCTCTCTCTCTCTCTCTCTCTCTCTCTCTCTCTCTCTCTCTCTCTCTCTCTCAGTACACAACAAGTGTCTCTTTCTTCCTGCAGCTCACAAAGAGCCACATTCATACAACAGAGAGGGAGAGAGAGAGAGCTTCACACTGTGTTTCCTGAGCGATAAACAATCAACAAACCAAGAGAGAATGTGGTCACATAAGTCAAAGCCCTGGGGAGTCGAGGTAAATGTTACCCTGTGTGTGATGTATGTATGCGAGCAGTGGTGGAGGAAGTACTAAACACTCTGTTACAAGTACAAGAGTTGCATGCAAAGTCTTACTTATGTAAAAGTACATAAGTATTGGCATCGAAATATACTTATATACCAAAATAAAAGTACTCTTTACAGAATAATACATTATATTTGGGTTTGAGCACTGACAAAGTCTGAGCAAAGGACCTTTTATTATACAGTATTATTATTAATAGTAGATATACTGTATGTTTTACAAAAATTCCTTGAGTTTTTGAGGGACTTAAGGGTCCCTTAAGGGTAAGGGTATATTTTATTTAACAGGAGTGTCAGGATTTGTTTGTTATATTCTGTCTCATTTATTTACTTTATATACTGTTAGGTTTTGAGTTTGCTCAAGGTATATCTAAATTATAATCTAATCTAATTATATACTGCTAGGTAGCTTGTGGTTTTACTCCAGGTATATCAACATAAATGAGTTTATTATAGTTAATATCAGTAATCTGGATTTGCAAACTAAACTAACTAACTAACTAAAAAGGTATTAAATAAATGCAGTCAAAAATACAATATTTACTTCTGAATTGTAGAGGAGTATAAGTATTGCAAATGAAAATAAAGCCTTGAATCTTGAAAAAGGTATAAGCACCTTAAACTTGTACAGTACGTGAGTAAATGTACTTAATTACTTTCCACTACTGTTGTACACAAACAGCACATGCTGAGAAACATTAGGAAAGCTCCAGCGGCTCTGAGTCGTCAGCAGGAGAGGACGGAGACTCCTCGTCTATGAATGGAGACGTGAGAGGACTTTAAACGGGTCTGAGTCCTCGCTGTGACCCCGGATAACTCTGAAAGCACCACAGCTCCAGCAGAGGATTAACACAGAGGTGAACCAACAAACAAACAAACAAACAAACAAACACAGACCTGGAATGATCCTGCAGAAGTTGTGAGGTGTTCCTGGTATTTAGCTGACTTAGAATGGGAAAATGTGTTGAAGTCGGTGACGATGTCCAATGAAAGTAATGTATCTTAAGCCGCAGCAGACTGGCTTACATTTTGGTTTTGTTTACAAATATTTTTACAAGGGCTGTCAGCGTTAAGGCGTAAAAGCTTGCAATCAATCTGGACACCCTGAAGAGTTTTGGAGTAGCTTCTTAAAGTTGCAAAGGAGTGGGAGATAGTGGACACGGTCAGCACTGAGGGAATATAATTAACATTATAATAATCATACAGGGGGGAATCACAGTACGATGCTACTATACAAGTATGTCGTCTTGTATGTAGCAAGCATTTCACAGAGGGGAATCGCAGTATGAATACTGAAGCTCGTCATCAAAGCGGCTTTGTCGATACTTGAGACATTTCAGCCGTCGGTCGCCTACTTTTCAATAACATATCCCTTGATGAGGTCAGTCTGTATATAGCCTTCCTATCAATGGTTTTAAGCTCATAAACAAACAGATATTATTTGACCATCGTTTCTGCCATTTGTCTAGGCACCAATTGTCTCTGACTGGTTGAAAACATATATTTAGACACTCGCCCTTCCTCTGCCCTCGACGAGCCCCTCGCTGCCCCTCACAAAGCCTCTTTTCTAAGAGGACAGATAGCAGACTGCATACCACAGCTTGACTGCACACTCTTACATAGGTACACCATATGAGAGCAACTGAAGACATGAAGCCAGTGGCGTTCTAGACCAATATTACAAGGGAAGGGGGGTGGGGGAGTTATTTAATAAGAGAAGGACATTTACCACGGATAAAGACAAGGACAGTGCTCAAGATTTCAACATTTGTAGTTCAGTATAAAGTCACAGTGCAGAACAAACACATAACATAGTTTGTTTTAGTGTGTGTGTGGGAGAGAAACTCCTGTGGGATGCTTTTGGTTTGTGTTCTACAGGTTTTGATGTATGGTCGGCAAAGGCTAACATCTTCCCTCCTTGAACTCAACATGGATGAAGCAGAGAATAAGGCACACTATGATTCACAGTGAGACAGAATGACTGGAATATTTTCCCTCCACGTTCCTGAGTCCTATCTGTCCGCATGTTTCCTCACTGATAAAACCTGGCTGTGTGCAAAGAGCTGATGGCGGCGAGCCTGGACAAACATGAGAGACAAACGTCACAGGAGATGTTCTGCTCTGGACACAGGCCATGCTCTCATCCTCCTCTCCGTGTATTCATATGCAGAATATTCCATTACAGCACCCTATTGTTCTGAAATGAGCCCTAATTAAAAACGTCAGAGGTTTTCACAGTCCAACAAAATGACACAAAGATTAACACAGGATTTTACACAGGAGGCTAATGCTGAGGTTTAATAAAAAGCTGTAGGTAGGAATTATGTGATATGTAAAGAGGAAGCTCTCATTTAAACTTTTGAACAAACCTTGAATTGGTATCTCATAACATTTCTTAAACTGAGAAGTTGTGTAAGTGTTTCAACTCCTTTAATAAGAACAAATATATTTATCTGACGCAGATTGTGCAAACCATTGTTGTAGCTTGTAAAATCTAGCTACATTTAGGGAGAAGAATATTTTAATAATACAAAATAAGATTAATTTTGTTAGAGTAAGATTACTCAACATGCTTGACAAGATTTATAGTCTTTTTAAACAAAAACATAAAACTTTTTTCACCATAAACAAGTTTTTCTTTACTTTCTTTAAATAACTTT